ATCCAAAGGTCTCGTAAGCTGGTTACAAAATATAATTTACCATCAAGTTTCACACTTCGGGAACATTAATGGGTGCATGCAGTGTTATCGAGGCGCAAGGCGCAATGCGGGGCGCAAAGGTCCCTTACGCGCACTATGCGCAAGGCGCACAACAAGGCGCGCGCCTCACTAACTGAGGCACATAACTCAAATTAATATTTACCAACATCATAAAACAGAAATATATAAGCAACATATTAGTTACCTACATCCAAAATTATGAGAATATCAACTTAAATCATCAAATTATGCTAACTGAATTTTTAAAGTAACAAAAAAGATACAAGAAACATGTATTTAAATCATCAAATTAAGTGATTAACAATTATGAGCATATGTTTATAAATTGTCACATAAAAAGACTAAGAAATATAATTAACAAACATGACTGTTTATAATTTTCTAGTTAGTATTCTTAATTGATATTTGCTACTTAGCATGAAAAGATGAAGAATGAATGTAACAATTACATATTTACATGTTTATAATTTGCTATTAGCATGCTAATTAGAGAAGGAAGTTACAAGGCGCACGCGAGGCGCGCGCCTCGCTGCGTGCAGCGCCCCGCCTCGCGTGCGGGGCGCATTTCGCCCAGGCCGAAGCGCCTCGCGCCCGGGGCGCGCCCGGGGCGCGCGCCTCAATAACAGAGGGTGCATGTGTAGTCGTCTTTTTCCTTTTGCGCATGATGATATCTGTATGCAAATGAAATAGCTGTAACCCTAAATTGGCGGTGATGTTCGAGTCAAACTGAATGTCTAATTGATATTTGCATAAATGGTCGAGATATTTTACCATGTAGCCGAGTCAGGCTGCATCTTTTACTAGAGTAAAGTTTCTACCTTTTGCCTTGTGTCATATCCTGAAGATCCTTAATGGGTCCAGTTGATCGTTTAATATAAATTGGTGGATTGTAGCTAAGTCTGTATCTGCAAACTTGACACTTATTGCAAACTTGACACTTATTGGATTCCTCAATGTTCTTCCACCTCTCGATAGAACTTTATATTCTTCTTTTAACACAAGTATAACTCTGAAAAAGTCATTTTCAATGCTATGCTTATCATAGTTGATCAGTTATAATATCAAAGACATTGTATTCTACTCCAGAAATAATATATGGCAGAGCTATTGGGAAAAAGAGAAATGACAATAATCATGTAAAATTTTATTTCTCGTGACTAATCAAGACTGATAATTAGTCAGATTTAATTGTGGCACTATTTCTTTGGACTGTAAATTGACGGTCAGTCATTTTTAACCACCTACAATCATGAGTCGAAACCATCATATGTAACTTCTGCTGCGGACTAGAGCAACTGGTTACTTGAATATTCTTAATTTTGATTAAATTAACATGGGTTAACTGCAAATAGATCCCTTGCACTATTGCCTAATTGTGGGTTGACCACCTTTAGTTCTATTTGTGTGGATAGATCCCCTCTGCTATATGTCTGCGTGCAGATAGATCCTTCGTGAACTTTTCCTATTCTTTTAAGAGTCAAAAAAATATTAGCGTCGGGTGTTTATCCTTCCACCCAAATTGAATGTATCATCTTATCTAGACCTGTTTTTAGATTGATCAGTTATTTGAGAATTCAAATAAGGTGAACATATATCTAATAATCAGGTCCGGATTAGCCTAAGGCATACCTAACCCGCTATTCCTCAAGTTAATCGATATCAACCTAAGTCACTTTAACCTGACAGCAGAAGCTACCAGCTTGGTTAAAGAAATAATTCTGGTCTAAGTGACCAAAGTTTTTATTATACTTGGCGAACAAATTTAATGGAGAAATGAGACCACCAAAAGCTCAAATGTTAGTCCCGAATGAGTCATTGGCTTAGCCACAAAGAAAAGACGAACCTTCGGAATCCACGAAGGGGCTCTGTGGAATTAAGACGATAACATGTGAATCTGCGATGAAATATGAAAGGAGGAATATCTATTGATAATAAGCAATATCGCTATAACTTGCACCAATCTTCTTAAATAGAAAATGAACAAATTTAATGGAGAAATGGGACGGCCAAAAGCTTAAACATTAGTCCCAAATGAGTTGTTGGCTTAGCTGCAAAGAAAAGATGAACCCTCGCAATCCACCAAGGGGCTTTGCAAAATTAAGAAGATAACATGTGAATCTGCGATGAAATATGAAAAGAGGAATATCTATTGATAATAAGCAATATCGCTATGACTTACAAGTCACACCATTCTTAAATAGAAAACATATCCACCTCCTAAAAGAAAATTTTCTAAAAATGTAATTCACTCAATCTACTTAAGAAGACTCCCTAGAGGAAACAAATCGGTTAAACTTGAATCAGTTCTGAATTGATTTCCAATAAAAAACCAACTCTAACTTTGTTTCTAAAAAAATAGATAAACTAATAAATTAAATGTATTGCTGCTGGAATTTCATGAATCTGCCATTCTAATTAGAAATTTGAAAATTAGCCAGTCTGGTCAGCTCTGCCTCTTTAAGATATCTAAAATATATATAATGTCTCAGACTCTCAAAGCTCCTTCCACATCCAGTCAAGTGCTACTGCTACTGGTACCGGTAAATAGAGTCATTGTGCCCTAAAAGAAATATTATGAACAAGGTGGATAGCCACAAGGACAACCGGACATTCATAGAAGATTTGAATAAAACTTGAGGGGTTTATGCCTTTGTTGTAACTAGAAAAAAATTATAGGCCTACTGATTCCTCCCAAGTACAAGCTCTCGTGTCAGTATGGTTCAGAACTCCTAACTCAGCATGTCAAGAAATAAATGTAGAAATCCGATTGTAAATACATGGATGATGTCGATCGACATAGGAAAAGAAAATTGTTTAAGAGGAAAGACAGTGCTGGTGTTCATATGAAAGGGACGTTTTCCAATAGGAACCTACAACAAACTGGAGAACAATAAGAATGGCCCATGTAAGATATTGAAAAAAGTTCAACGACAATGTTTATGTAGTCAGTCTCCTAGAAGGCTTAGCCATCTCTTTGGCCCATGTAAGATATTGAAAAAGTTCGACGACAATGTTTATGTAGGCAGTCTCGTAGATTGCTTAGACATCTCTTCTACAAATCTATTCAAGTACTACCCGCTTGAATGAATTTATAGACAAGTAAGATCACCAGAAGCCCAAATATGGCACCTAGATGAGTCCTTGACTTAAACCGCGAAGAAGTGTGTACATTGTTTTGAGACATGTAATATATGTTCTTGGCCCTTGGGTATCTCGATTAGACGGAGCCAACCTTACTAGCAGATTCCCAAAATTCCAACTAGATGCCAGATTCCTGAATATCTAGCACCAATACCTTTAATTTAGCAGCTTTTTTATTTTTAGATGTAAAGTTGGTGTCAATTTTGGATACGAAATCAATTCTGAATTTATTCAAATTTGACTGGACTTGTTTTCTCTATTGTATGAATTTATTCAAATTTTGCTCGTTGTAGGAGTCAACTATGTTTTCTATTTTTGATCAATGGTGTAAGCGCTAGATGCATTCTTGTTATCGATAGAATTTCGGCTTTTCATATTTCTTCGTTGATTTGTCTTCTTGGATTCTATACTTTTTTGTTGATTTAAAGAACTCGGTTTTTTCGAGGTTTTGCTTTTGCACTACGTCATGAAGTCATGAAGTGTATGTCTATCATTTTATATTTCTCATGCACATGCGACCATCGCATAACGAGATCTTAAAAAGATTCCCCATCTCTAGTCTCTACTAGTATCTGTTGTATACTTCTAAATACTCATTTATATGTCATATCTAGTAGGAACTAGTATAAACTTTAGACCTCTTTTTCCGCAGTCACTGTGTTATACTTTTGTGAAACTCTCACATCCCTTTCCATTAGAAGTTGGATTCAACTGCAACAATATCAAGCCTTTTCCCAAAATTTTATGTCAACAATTCGATTTCTTTTCTTCATTCGTCTCTTTTAATAGGCATCTTCTTTGTTAGATTAGCAAGCGTTATAACTTTTGTATTGTCTGAATGGTCTACCCCTAGTTCTAGCCTCTCATTCGACTATGATCATGTCATTCCTAACAAACATACCTTTTGAACATTCAAATCATAGAAATCCAACTCTTGTTTTATCCTCAGTGAAGCTATAAATTTAGCTTCCTATGAACTTACTATCTTCTTTTTGTGTATTGCCATCTATCCACTCAACTTTTCGTTTTAGCTGCGCTCATTTTATAGATATTATATCTCTTAATTGATCAACAATCTAATATTCAAGAATGACTTTTTTACCTAGTTGTCCTATGGTATTTTCCATAAAAATTTTATGAAGAGCTGATTTGTCTGTTGTTTTATCTGGTTTTGGAAAGCATTGGATTAATATGATAGTAAGCACACATCTGGGTGATAGTTATATTTACTTTATCTATGCACATTGTAAAAGGATAGGTAAATAGTTGGAAACGTATTAAACAGAGCTAGGGCGAGAGGCAGGAAGTGGAAAACATAATCTGGTATAGGATCTCAATTCCCCTCATTATAACTTATTTTGAGAATTTTACAGCACGCCTAATGTTCTTTGATTGGAAGTTTGTAATGTTAGAAAATTTGTGTTTGTGCTCAACATATTTGAGACAAATGATGGGAACATGGGACGCTATAGCTAACCGCATCACAAGCTTAATCGTATTGAATGCAGAATGCTAGCGAACTGGGTCATGTTCCGCCGCAGCCCAGTTTGCTAAGTTCACCCGATTTACAAATCAAATAGTTAAGATTTATAAAATACATTTTTCAGAAAAAAATAAACAGATGCACGTAAATTAGCTTGTGATTTTGTTATGTAATGTTTTGCAACTTTTCTATTTATCTGATCTTCATTGGTTTAATATTTGTTATTATGTTTTATATGTTGAAAATCAGAATCGTGTTACTATTTGTATTTGTTTAGCTATATGTAACCAAAGGAGGGTGGGGGGAAAGAAAGAAAGAAAGGAAAAAGAAGTTACTCAGGTTCCTACATTTAAGTATAGAACCTAAAGCATACCACATTTCCTAGAATACTGTATAAGCCTACCTCCTTGTACCTGGTTTTAAATAAGTGGTGTACCACGTTATCGTTCCCGTCCAACGAACCAGAACAAACCGAGTTCCATGCAACTATGATTTGACATGTAATGTAGAAACCACTAGTTACATTAACGTATGAAAGTTTGACTTGTTCGTCAAAAAAAAAAAAAGAGAGAAAAAAAGTTGAACAACTCAGATGGCAAGAGCATCTAGGTTACATATCTTAGGAAGCTGAATGAAGAAGAATATTTCATGTTTATATTGATGTGATCATGCAAAGCAAAGAGGAAGGTAACAAGAAATAGAGTTGCATGAAATAACTAAAAATGGTAGTAATGTTGACCGTATCGTTGAGATGACAAGGGCATCTAGTCAGTTGGTCATCAAGATCTATAACTCATGGCCCTTTGTACCTTGCACAGAAATTCATCACCAATTAATTTATAGACAGTTCTTTGCTGAAGGTTCCAGTGGTGCATAAGGTCTAGATGACGCTGATAACTTTATACATGATGAGATTTTTATTTGCATACGTGTATTGCAAAGTTATTAATTTTAAGTATGGCAATCGCAAGTACTTCTGTTAAGGTTGTTTCTAATCCTACAATGTTTTATATATCATTTTGCCATTCTTAATGTTTCTTCTTATGTTTATAGGAGTTGGCTCATCGACAACAGTACTTTTTTTGGAAAAACTATAGGAACAACAGATTAAAGCATATTCTACCACGCCCTCTTCCTGAACCTGCTGCACCTCCAGCTCCAGCTGCATTACCTGCACCTTTGCCGCCTATACCTGTTGCTTCTCCACAAGCATCATTACCAATGCAGTTTGCTGGACAGCCTGGATCTTCTTTTCCGAAGGTGGATATGAGAAATAGTATGGCAGATCGTAGAAAGCGAAAGTATGTCCTCTATACCTAGTTCCTAGATACCATACAAAGAGATAAGCTTGTCTTTTCCTCTCCACTTTTACGCTAACATTAATACGTCTAATTCTGTAGCTTGCTAAGCGCTTTAATTTGTTTGGTGGATAAATTGGATGATCTAATGCTATTGTAACGCGCGAAAAAGGATTTATATATGGAAACTCAGGGATTAGTTAGTTATTCTGGAGCCAATAAATTTCATTCATAGACTATATATGTGGTGGACTAAAATTTTCTTTTTATTGTTTCAAGGTTGGAGATCTAAACTTGAATTTGAATGTAAATAATAATGAAGTTTGTAAAGTCAACTGTCGGTTTTTTTCATTGTCTTGTCACGATGTAAGTAGTAACAGCGAGACGACATTGTTCATGGACTTGATGCATAGAAAAGCATTAGAAAAAATGTATTGAAACATTTATCTAGTGGTAATTGGAGTTTGTTTTCCATGTGAGTTAACACTTGCACTTTCTTATGCTTCCATGTAGAGTGAAAGGCAATCTTAACTGGCAATGATGGGAGAAATGTTCAATGTTCCTGTTAGATTGCAGAGGAAATTTTCAATAAAACTCGAGTAGTTTGCAATTGCTAACTTCACTTGGTACCCAAGTTCATCATGTGGAGTTGCTGTAGATGGATTACATATTTCGTTCCATTCCAGTGATCACATGCATTGTCTGAAATAAAGCTCTCTTCTTAATTATACTTTTTTTTAATTCAAAACTCGTTACGGCCTTATGAACATAACTTGTCTAGGGTTATTTGGTTGGGGTGGAAACCATGGAAAAGGGTTTCCACCTCCACTTGGGAAAGTGATTCTCTAAACATTTTCCCGTTCTTGTGTTTGGGAGCACATCAACCTAGGGAAACAAGTTTCCTAGAAGGGGAGGTTTTATTGGTAATCCATTCCCAGTTTTTTTAGCTTGGAAAAGAGTGGGAAAAGGTGTTTATTCGGATTGAATATTTGTGGAGGGGTTTAAATGCAAAAATGTAATTATTCAATCTCTTTCTCTCTATTTCCTCTGTCTATTTTCTAATATTGTGCGTTCCTATTTAGAGTTTCTATCCACACAATAGAATTACATAGATATCAGTTTCTCACCACCTTTGCAGATTAAAACGACATTTCTAGGAAAAACTATAGAAACATTTAGAAAGTATTTTCATTGGCTGAAACCCATTTTTTATATTTTTTAAAAAAATAAGCAAACAGCTCCTTCTGAAAAGAAATGCATGTTATTATCATGTAGTGATGTATATAAGTAATTGCTCAGGGAGAGATGAATACTTGGAGTTGAAAGCAATATAGAAGTTAATCTGGAGTTGAAAATGCTCAAGTAGTAAATCTGGTTTTGGAGACTTTGGTGCATTTGGTGCACCTCTCCTCTTGACATATATCGAGGCTGCTGCTGTGTGGGGCAGTTAGCTGGGCAATTCTTTCGCCACCTTCATATTGAGCGTCCTTGACTCCAAACTCCCCCTCCCTCATTTTGACCTTCAATTTCTGAGATTTTGAAAAAACCCACTGGAAGGTGAATGTTGGCTGATACTTAAACCAATAGTAAGTAGCTAGACCCCATCATACAGGGGGTGCATCTGCAAATAAACTTTTATGTTTTGTATACCTGTCAACCATACAGGTAGTCTTCTCTATCACAACAAACTCTTACTACCACTTCTAATTAAAACATGGTGACTAATGTTCACAGTGCAGTTTGTTTATCCGATAAGTTTATGGCAAGTTATACTTGTATAACAGGAAATAACTTGAATATGCGGCCAAAAAAAAAGTAAAGTAAATAAAACGCACACACACAAACCACAAACTTTGTTCACCATTAAGTCAATAACATGTCAGGCCTTGTGTACGTTGTACTTTAGCTTGATCATAATACTTTACTGTTTGTTTTGGTGCAACATTTAAGGGAATCCAGATATCGTTTTAGTCAAGTCAAACTTTGTAAGGTTGTAAATTAAGGGTTCAAGGAAACGTTTGATTATCTAGAAGAACCTGATTGTCAGTGATATAAAGCAATTCTACCTTGAGCTGGTTTTAAACGTGGAAAAGAGCTTATGCTTCTTGCTCGTTCTATGGAGCTTACTTTATTTGTGATCAGTCCCTCTCATCTAGCAGTGTTTTGTTTTGATAATAATATTCATACTGATGCTGTCATTTGCGAAAGGTATACTTTTTCAAATTGTAGTATGTGATCCATTATGGAATATTTATCGATGTTTTCATATTGCAGGAAAGAAGCTTGAAGGAAGGTCACCTGTTGAAAGGTTCTCCATATTTCTTTCTTGCAGGTAATCTTTCCTGTTATCCTGTTATTGTTAGCACCGCATGTCCCAAGTCAGGATAAAGGAGGAGGGTTGTGTTAGATAGCCAACGGCCAATGTAAAACATAGTCGGATCCACATAAAAAATGAATCTTATTATATACTCGTTAGGGGTCCCCACCGTGACGCGTTGCATCGATGTCAGCCCGATGCAATGATAAGTAAGCAAGGGTGGTTTGCTAGGGCGTCCCCCGGAAGCGGCATATTATATCGATATCACCCCGGTGTAATGACAAGTAAGCAATGGTATTCTAAGAATCTACAATCCTCTAATAGGTTACCTAATTGTATTAGGTATAGACTAGAATGATTTAATAGAAAAAAATGGTAGGAGGCTTTTACAAGAAAATAGAATTAGATTAGCTACTTGGAATATAGTTACACTTACCGGAAAGACTATGAAATTAGTGAATGTCATGCTTAGAAGAAACATAAATATAATTTGTTTATAAGAAACTAAATGGAAGGTGAAAAATCTAGAGAAATTAAAAAGGCCGGATATAAACTTTGGTACATGGGAAAAGAGAAGTATAGGAATTGAGTGGGAGTTCTTGTAGATAATATAATATAAGAAAGTGTTGTAGACATAAGAAGAGTTAAAGATAGAATAATACTAATAAAAGTTGTCTTAGGTGTAGAGGTTATTAATATTATTAGTACGTACACACCATAAATAGGCTTGCCTGAAAGTACTAAAAGGAAATTTTAGGATATATTAGATGAATTAGTATAATGAATCCTATTTAGAGAGAAATTATTTATAGGAGTTCTTAATGGGCATATTGGTAAGAATAATAACAGATATGAGAGAATACATGAAGGTTTCAGACTTTCAGGTATGGAGATAAGAACGATATGGGTAAATCAATTTTAGAGTTTGCAATATCGTATGATTTGATAATAGCAAATTTATTTAAAAAAAAGGATGAACACTTAATAACCTTTAAAAGTAGTTTTAATAATAGTCAACTAGATTTTTTTCCTTACTAGAATGACGGATAGGTTAATATGCAAGGATTTAAAGTTATATCAGGAGAGAGTTTATGTACACAACATAGATTGATGGTCTTAGACATATCTATTAAGAAGTGGAGTAGAAAAGCTAACGTGAACAAGAGACTAAAAACTAAATGGTAGAATTTAAAATGAGAGAATTTAATACATTTTAAAGATAAGATAATAATAGAAGATATATGGAACGTAGATAATGAGACTAATATTATGTGGAATAGCGTGTCTTCTTGTATTAGAAAAGTGGCTAAAGATATATAAGGTGAATCTAAAGGCTATAGATTAGATGGTAATTAGAGTTGGTGGTGGAATGAGTGTGTAAAAGGTTATTAGAGAGAAGAAAATTTTATATAAAGAATGACAAAAGTGTAAAAGTATGGAAAACTTAGAAAAATATAGTCTGGTAAGGAGGGAAGCAAAAAGAGTAGTTAGTGAGAATAAATACAAGGCTTATGAATTTTTTTATAAGAAGTTAGAATCTAAAGAGGGAGAGAAAGAGATATATATAAGATTGCTAAGATTAGAGAAAAAAAGAATAGAGATTTGGATAATATTAGGTATATTAAAAGTGATGATCAAAGAGTTTCTAGTGACCGACAAGGAAATAAAAGAGAGGTGGAGGAGTTACTTTTATTAATTGTTTAATGAAAACTATATAAGTGAACAAAATAGAGATTTTGACCATATAGTGAATGATAGGAACTATAGATATATCGAAAAAATTAGGATTAACGAGGTTAAAGATGCTCTAAAGAAAATAAAAAGTGAAAGAGCCGTGGGACCGGACGATATCTCTATTAAAGTTTAGAAATGTCTTGGAGATATAGGCTTAGTATGGTTAAATAAAGTATCTAATAAGGTTATCGAGATGAACAGAATGCCTGCCAGATGAGTGGAGGATTAGTACTTTGATACCGATATATAAGAATAAATGAGATATATAAAGTTATTCAAATTATCGAGGTATAAAACTCACGAGTCATACTAAGAAACTTTGGGAGAGGGTAATTGAGCAGACACTAAGAAAAGAGACAAGTATATCTGAAAATCAATTTAGTTTTATGCCTGAGAGGACAACAGTGGAATCTATATATATTTTGAGAAGGTTGATGGAGAGATATAGAGAGGAGAAATGATCTACATATGATTTTTATCGATCTAAAAAAAGCTTATGATAGATTGCATAAAGATGTAATGTAGTGGGTGTTAGAAAAAAAATATGTATCTAGTATATATATTAATGTGATTAAAGATATGTATGACATAATAACAATTAGAATAAGAACTAATGAAGGAGAGACTAAACCATTTTCTATTAGTATATATTTACACCAAGGATCAGCTTTAAGTCCTTGTCTTTTTGCATTAGTTATGGACCAACTTACTAAGCACATTGAGGATGAAATCCTATGTTGTATGTTATTTGCCAATGTTATAGTATTAGTTGATGCAATTAGAAGACATATTATTTTTAAAGTAGAAAGATGGAGACAAGCTCTTGAATCTAAATGTTTTAAAATTAGTAGAACAAAAAACAGAATATATGGAGTGCACTTTTAGTAAAACTAGGAGATGAAGAGAGCCAATGGTACATATTGATAGCCAAGAAATACTTAAAACTAATTATTTTCGCTATTTAGGATCAATCATTAGGTATGATGGTGAGATAGATGATGATGTTGTGCATCAAATCAAATTTGGATGGTTGAAATGAAGGAGTGCTTCGGGAGTCTTATGTGATCGTAGAATACTAATGAAACTAAAGGAAAATTCTATAGAATGGTTATAAGACCAACTATGCTTTATGGGTCAGAGCGTTAGGAAATTAAAAACCATGTTAAAAAATGAGTGTAGCAGAAATGGGAATGTTGCGATGATCTTATGAGTATACATTAAAAGATAGAATAAAACATGTGTGCATCCGTAGTAAATTATTGCACCTATTGAGGATAAAATGAGAGAATAGATAGATGGTTGAGTCATGTACAACGAAAACCCTTTAGCGCACCGATTAGAAAAAATGATAATATTAGAGTTAATGGGGCTAGAAAATCTAGAGGTAAGCCTAGAATGACTTGGTTAGAAGCAATTAAGAATGATATGATTAAGATTAACTTTACGGAGGAGATGACCAATAGCAGAATGAAATGGAAAAATATGATTTATGTAGCTGACCCCAAACATTTAGGATAAATGTTTGGTTGTTGTTATAATCTTTCCTATTATGATTTATCTTATTCGAAATCTAGCAATTAGGGTGAATACAAGGCTTATTTTCACTCTGTTACGCCAAAGTATATCCATTTTTTCACTTTGATCCCTTGGTATTTTTGACACTTACAATACTCCAAAGATTCAATCCCATTTAATTTTGATACCCCCACCCAGAATCAGTTTAATTTTTCTGTTAAAATTGTATCGCGTGCATAAACACACGAACCATTTAGATCAATTATATCCCTCTCATAAAAAATAATTCCCACTACCCTTCTCCATCCTTATGCTTATGTTATTTAGGTCTCTAAACTCATTTATTCCTTGCCTCATCTGAAAAGGACAGAATTTAACAGGAAAATATATAACAGATTTTGATATTTGCTTGAAAACATTTGTCTTCTGAGAATTTTTTGACCTAATAACTCTTGATGTCTTATTTTCCTTTGGGTGGGTGT